GGAGGCAGAAGCAGATCAGGGAGGACTTAGGGAGAGTTAGGAATAGACAATGACTGAAATATATGCAACCCTCAAAAATATATCTTTAAAACTGAAGTAGTGAGGAGATGGGAATTGTGAGCTGGGGGCCAACCTGAGCTAAGGAGTGAGAACTTGTCTCAAAAACAAAATGTGGTGGGGCATGGCTGTGATCCCTGTACATAGTAGATAGAGGCAAGGTTATCCTTGGCTACATAGCAAGATTGAAGCCAGCTTGAGCTGCTTCAAAAGACAAAACCATATGAGTCCACAGAAGGACATGTCTGTAGGATGTTTGTCTTCATAGGCACCACAAGCAGCATCTACTGCAATGGCAATGTTGCTGCTCCCTGCATCTTACTCCTGCCTTTGTTAGAATACAGGCTTCTTTACAGTTCCAAAGTTATTCATATACATTGTAAAAATATTAGTAGCAGACAGCAAGGAAAGAGAATAAAACACACTTCAAAGCCCTAATTACATCTACTGGCTACAGCCTCATCTACCAAATTGTGGCATCAATTCCAGTACAAACATCCCACCTTACCCACAAGACCACCAGTGTAAAAAGCACTTAGTAAAATCTTCATAAAAAGTAGTTGTTAGTGGCTTGGTGGGGGTCACTTAGAGGTGATTAGAAATTTATGCCTCGGGTTGGGCATAATAGAGCACTTACTTGCCCAGCATGCCTAAGGCAAGCCCTGGCTTCAATCCCCAGCACCACATAAAAATAAAGGGGGGGGGGTACGCTTCTTAACTACTTAGAAAAGTCTGGAAGAAAGGTCCCAAGACACAGGTGAAACACTGTCACACTGAAGACAATCATTTCAGTCACAGTAGAGGTCATAGAGGTCATTGAAAATAGCATTTTGGGAGACGTGGTAATACTAAAAATCAGTCATATTGGAGAAAAGCAAAACCTTAGAAATGAATGAAAACTAAAGCATGTGGAAGTGAAGGGGTTTTAATGTATGTGTTCATATGTGAAGGTGTACAGTCAGCATGCATGTGGAGGCCAGTAGTTGGTATTGGTACCCTCTTTCTATGAGGATACAGGTCTTCATGCTTGCATGGCAAACCCCTTACCCACTGAATCATTTCCCCAGTCCTGAAGTTGAGAATCCTAAAGGTCAGAACCATTACATAGAAGATATATTTGAACAAGAAAATTGCTTGGATATTGCTGTGTGCTTGGACTTGGTAGGAACTGAGACTCCAGATCACTGGAATACAAAGCCTTGTGATGAGTACACACAGACTCACCTCCTACATCAGAATATGGAAATTGCAGACTTAAGATCTGCTGGTTTACTTAAAAGTGGCAATGGTATAAATTAACTGTGATTTTTATAATCAATCCAGTTAGAATCGGGCAGCCACTAAAAATGAGGTCTACTTTACAGTCAGATGTCTCTTTGCTATGGAAAAAAAAATCTGGCCTTCAACTGGTCTTAATAACTATCTAAGCCAGGCATTGGTGGCACAGGCCTTTAATCACAGCACTCAGGAGGTAGAGGCCAGAGGCAGAGGCAGGAGGATCTCTGTGAGTTCAAGGCCAGCCTAGTCTACAGAGGGAGTTTCAGGACAGCCTCCAAAGCAATACAGAGAAACCAAAAAAAAAAAGGAAGGAAGGAAGGAAGGAAGGAAGGAAGGAAGGAAGAAAATCCAAGAGGATCTGTCTGGAGCTATGGCTGGTCAGTTCATAGTCCATCCTGCTCCTGTAAGAATGTCCAAGTTCAATTCCCAACACTGTCAAGCTGCCTCTAACTCCAGCTCCAGGACCACCTGATGCCTCTGGCCTCCACAGCCACCTGTGCTTGCACACATACCACACAGACATATGCACAAACACATAATGAAATAAATCTTACCAAAAAAACTACTAAAGAATCCAGGATCCTGACGTCACTTCATGCTGTGTCTCCTCCAGGCATACTTGCAGCAATAATCATTTAATGTCTACTAAGTAGCCAGTATGAAGCTTTTCCACTTATGCTGATCGATGGTTCAATACAGCTGCTGGTTTTTTGTTTATTTGGTTTCTTGTTTTGTTTTGCTGTTTTCCATGACAGACTCTGAAGAGTTTGAGAGAAGTTACATAGATGACTCACCCCTTTACTGAAGGTGGGGAAATTTATAAAAAAAGAATCCATACCCAAATTATAGTTTTTATTGCTTTCAAATCCTTCACAGAAAATAGTGTATACTTTAATTAAAAGATCCAGAAATAGTTCAAATTAAACCTTTTCCTGTATTCCAATAATTATTTCAAGTTATTAATATCATAACCCAGTTAATGAGTTCTCTCTTCCATTAATTTCTTGGGGTTCTAAACCATAAGAATTCTTTAAAAAAAAATCTTGCTAAATTTCCCACAGACCCAGTGAGTTAGGAAAACTGCTTTTGTTAGGCCTCAGAGATATTTTCTTCCATTACATTTATGACCTTAAATATCTGAGATTTCACAAATATTTGAGGTTTCTCTTTTTGCTTTTTTCTTAACCTAAAACACCATTCCCAGTAAAGTGGCCCCAACCTTTTTGGAATATTTCTGCTAATTGCTGTGTTTCAAATTTCTTCGTATCTGTGAATTCATTATGAATCTCACACAAATATTTTGAATATTTCTGAATATTCTAAAATCCAAGTTTAACTTTCTGAGTTAGTCCTTAACCACCATTTTCATGGCCTCTTTGATGAGGCAGGGTTCCTACAGTAGATTAACTTTTTAGGTTAAGTGTAGGAAGATGTCCAGAAACATGATTCTCTAATTTTTTTCTTTGCTACTCATCCCCCAAATTTACCTATAAACATTCTCCTCCTTACCAACACTACTATCGTTTTCCTCATGTGAGAAATCTCTTTATGAAATTCGAAGATGTCTTAGAAAGAAGCTAGCATCTTACTCTATTTTTGGCTGGTTACAAAAACAGAGTGGGACACCCAGAAACAATCTGTTGAAAGACGTTGGAATGAAAAAAAAAAAAAAAGACCAATTGGTAGGAAAGTAGTTATATTGAATAATCACAGTATTTCTCTAAAGAGACAAATTTCCACAGGTCCAGTCCTCCAAGAAAATGCTTCTAGGATACCAGTTGATTTTAGAATACAAGCTTTATCCAGACCACTGTCCTGTTAATAAACATCGAAACCTTGACTACTGATACACAGACTTTATTAAGATTTGTCACATATAATAGAGCATAGTTTCCATTGCATCCAAGTAGCAATCAAGAACGACAGCATGTCACTTTGTAACAACTGACACTTGTGGCTTTTTGAATTTGGTTTGCAGAAACTTTAACCTCAATTAAATCTAGTCATGCTTTTAAAAAATGCTTTAGGTCACTCCAAGCTTGGCAATTAACATTTGGCATGGACAATAATAAACAACCACAACAGATAAATAACAGACACAACCTCCTGGGCCATAAACACATACAGCAAAAGGAAATAAAATGGTAGTGAGTCAGTAGTTACCACAGTTAATAGAGAAGCTCAGTGGAGACATCTGGAAGCTTTGATTCACAAGCCCTGAGAGTTCTCAAAGCAAGGGCAATGCCTACAGTACAGCTTACATCACTAACACACAGAAAACAACTACAGCATGATCAGCTCATTTATATGAATGCCTTACATCCTTCCGAGCTAGCAACGATACCTTAGTATAAAAAAATATTCAAGTTGTATTTCCCATAGAACTTTCTGTGCTTCCTAACGAGTGCTAAATGGATTTAGTGGTGGAGGCAGCAATTCCCCTAAGTGATCTATTTTAGCATTTTTTTTACAGCTATCTAGACCTAAAGACTTTTAGACTTTTGGAATTATCAGTGACAAGTGTGGCCACATTTCAACTTACAGTAATATCATATGCTTGACTCATAATGTTATTTTGTCAATTTACCTGAAATTTTAATCTTATAAAAATGTGCAGGGGTAGCATAATAAATAACCAATATGTTAAAATGATAGTTGCTAATTACCAGGAATATGGAGGGGAGCCTATGCTAATGCCACTGGTAGTTTGGGTTTCTGTATGCTTTTAACTTACAGAACTACTGACACACATACACACCTGTCTACTTTAGTCTGGTGTGTTCAGAAACCCGAGATATGGTCCTCATACAAAAACTGTTTATCCAAGAAAAAAAAAGTAGCTGGTGGTTTCTCCTTTTTAAACAAAATGATTCCAAAACTTTTAATAACCAGAATTTAGAAGAGAACAATTTTAGTTAGAAATCAAGTATACAGACAGTCAAAACCGAAAAGATGACTCCTAAAAAAAGATCAAACTAGAATCCCAGATGTAGAGTGATTTTGTAAAGTAGAAACACAGTGGTCACCTGCAACTTCCTGTCACTCCGGTGAGTGCCTTGGGACTACCAGAGGCTCTGTGATGCATTCGATGAACACTAAAGGGTGTTTCCCTGGAGTGAAGGTGAAGGTGCTTTCACAAACTTAATTTTTATTCACAAACTATTTGGTCAAAGAAATAAGTAAAGCTAAGTAAAAGCACATCTGGTAGAAATCTGCGGCCATGAGCGTTGACAAGATGTGCTTGGATCTCACTTGCAGCACCTGGCAGTGGGCAGCAGAACGTAGGTCAGCAACTCAGGGACTCTGCTCCATCTGTTCTGGAGATGGCTCCAAGGTTGTGGCACAGGTAGCATTTGCTGTGGAATTCAGGACTTCTCCAAAATCACCACCAGTAGGCTTGGTTCCCCCTACTTTAGACTTTTTAAAAAGTGGGGGGGGGAGAGAAAGACATCATGAAATAAAATTAACTGCCTCTGCAGAAAGGAACTCTACATTTACATTGAAGAACAAATTGGGCCTCTCAGGACTCAGCATTCTGTCTGGATGTTAAGTGCTGCTGTGGTGCTCAGGGTGGCTTAACAGTGAAACACATGTTCTCTTCCTTGCAGAAATGCTCTCCTTCCTCCCCTTCCTCTGCCTCCCCCATCAGCTAATTGCTCTTCACTAGAAAATTTACTTAGAGAACTTGGTGCTCTATTATCCCAAAGTATCTACTGACCTCTGTAGATACTTGAGAAACATTTTGTAGCCATCTATTTCATTCAGCAACATTCTTTCAGAGATATTACTGAGTACAACAAACGGAAGAAATAAAAGTCCTTTTCCAGGTGCACTTTAAGCTTCTCAGTCCTTTCCTACATAAAAGTCTGGTTTACAGACTCAGCAGGTTGTCAGAATTCAAATGGTAATGCCAGAGGGACCCTGAGTGACCTTGTGTCCACCGGAAACTTGTACCACTCTACTCCAACCTCCCAGGCCTGAAACTGTCAATCAGTATTGGTTTGAATGTTTCATATGCCTGACATTTATATTTCATGATTTTTTTTTCAAAATTCCTAGATGGATGTGGTGGCTCACGTCTATAATGTCAACACTTGGAAGACTAAGGCAGGAGGATTGCCATGAGTTTCTTCTCTGGCCTGGGCTATATTGTATATTCCTGTGAACACAAGACCAAAACCACATTTCTATTAGTATGTCACTTCATGCTTCTCAGTGCTCGCTGTCTGTTCCATGTAATGACTGAACAACATGACAGCTAACACTAGGACACCAGCCAGTGACCAAGAATGCATGCTCAGTGGATTCAAACTTGACTTTCCTGTTGCCCCAGTCTTAACTCACTGGGCAGAGTCTTAATAACTGGAATCTAATTGAAATTTTCCCTTTTCTTTTTTATCTCCCATCCAAACTTTGAATTGTTGGATAAATATGCATAACTTGTATCCATTATCAAATCCACTGAAATATGTCTTTAACTATAAGAAACTGGGACAACTCCTTGCAGTTCAGCATCTGTAAAGGAGAACTCCCCACAAGTGGAGCCCTCTTCATCTTTCTCCTTCAGGAGAGCCAATGTCAAGCAAGAAAATAATCTTTACATTATTTCATTTCACTGTTTGTTCCATAAAATTCTAAGTAAAGGGGATTAAAATGTTATGTATCTGAATATTAAATATAAAGATGTAAAAAGAAAATGTTGTAAGCAACAGAACCTCCACAGTTGACTGTCCCATCACACAGAGCTGTGAGTGTGCTATCCCTTTAGTTCCACAGCATATTGCTTTAATCCTAGCCTAATTCCTACATTATTCCCATTATCCTACCTGAATTCTTCACTATCCTTTTTATCTAGATCACACTCCTACCTCTCAACAGCTCTTCCTCTTCGAGATCTGCACCCTCCCTCATTTGTGAGAGGCTGCCAATGATGCTTCTTCGTAAAATGAACAAAAGGAGGTTTTTTTTAAGTTGACTAATACCCTTCAATGGCTTCCCATTTCCAGAACACCCGATGATCATGCCTCAAAAAAGGCCCTAAGGCCTTATGCATGTCTCCAATTAAATTACTGAGAGGCTTTGCTGACTTTCCCTTCTTGTCAAGCTAGGTGAGGTCTTCCTCCAGGTTGGCATGGTACCCTCAGCTTTCCCTGCCATAGCCACATACTCAAAAACTATAGAAAACTGAATCCATCCAAAATCTCAGTGCACAGACATGTTGATCCAAAGCTTAAATGAATGTAAGCATAATTTGGCAAAATTATCCCAAGCATGTAACTACAAATTTCTGTAGCAATAGCTGTTCAATATGCTTTGTAAATTTACCTTTTTTAAAAGATTTATTACATAAATGGTGTTCTGCCTGCATGCCTGCACACCAGAAGGGGGCACCAGATCATTATAGATGGTTGTGAGCCACCATGTGGTTGTGGGAATTGAACTCAGGACCTTTGGAAGAGCACCTGGTGCTCTTAACCTCTAAGTCATCTCTCCAGCCCATAAATTTACCTTTTACATTTTCATCTGTGCTGGATAATTTTATGTCAACTTGACACAAGCTATAGTCATACAAGAGGAAGGAATCTCGATTGAGAAAATGTTTCCATAAGACCAGATTGTAGGCAGGTTGTAGGCAAGTCCATAGAGCATCTTCTTAATTAGTGATTGATGAGAGAGGGCCCAGCCCATTGTGGGTGTGGCCACCCCTGGGCTGGTGGTCCTGTTCTTTAAGAAAGCAGGCTGAGCAAGTCATGGGGAGCAAGCTATGTTTAAGCTCCTTTAATGATGGACAATGATGTGGAATTGTAAACCCTTTCCTTCCCAACTCAATTTTGGTCATGGTGTTTCATCACAGCAATATTAACCCTAACTAAAACATCATCTGAATGACACTAAGTTGGATTTGACAAATGGACTATACTAGACTCTATAATAGATTGTTAATATAGCACGTGAATCATCTCTGGGATCAAATGAACATGAGTTGCTGATTTCTGACTAGCTATTTCAAGATGTGAGAGAGGCAAGCAGAGTTCAAACAATCTTGAAAACCAAGTTGCAGCCTGTCCTGGAACTCCCTCTGTAGACCAAGCTAACCTCAAAACTCAGAGATCCACCTGCTTCTGCCTCCTGAGTGCTGTGATTAAAGGCCTGCATCACCACCGCCTGGCTATGTAAGATACTTTTCAGAATAAGTGACCCTTCTGATGTTCTGAAAGAATAAACTTTTATTTTTTATTAAAATAAAAGTGTTTTTAACTTATTTTCTTGAATAAGACCAGCCAAGGCTCGTCTTGAACTCACAATCCTCTTTTTCTACCTCTCAAGTGATAAAATTACAGTTGTGTATCAGCTCCAAACTATATCCAGTACAATGAACAGGATTGAATAAAGAAACCACCAAACAGGCTACACACAAACACAGTAGAACAGAGCATCAGGAGTTTGACTAGGCACAAATGGGTGACATTTGTGATTCTGAGAGTTCACAGGTTTGTCTTTGCTTGTTTTCAGCTTTGGTGTTTTTGTGACAGGGTATCACTCTATAGCCAGAGCCAGTATCAAACTCTAGGCAATGCTCGTGCTTTGGCCTTCAATTGCTGGGATTACATGTGTAAGCCACTATGCCCACTTCTCAGAGTTGAGGATTTTGTAATAATTTTGTAATAATTTTGGAAATAATGCAATTTATAAAGCTAATCATTGTGGAAGAATGTGCACCTCCAACAGGGGGATCAAAGGAGGTAGATACGATCAAGATATAATTTATAAATGTGTGAAATTGCTAAGCAAAAAGAAAATAGCCTTTAAAATAATATAAAAGACAGTGACTACTTTTTAATATTTTAACATTAATCATCAATATTAAAATAGGAATACTAATATTTATATTAACTCTTTAATATTATGTGCTTTCCAGGTTAAAAAACTTAGAGCAAATTTTGCTCAATTATAAGAATATCTGAAATAAAGCAAATGTCTGAAGAACAGCAGTTTTATGTTATCCATTCCCTGTGTAGCATACGATAGCACATTCATAAAAGCACCACACACACACAAAAAAAAGACTACAAAACCATGCAGTGTCCATTAGTGACACAAAGGGTACAAGTCTTAAAGTTCTCTATAGCTGTATGTGAATGACATAAGGCAGCAAGCGTGTGACATGAAGATAGCTCACCTCTTTGCTTACCTTTAAGTTTTCAACCTTTTCTTCAAATGACTTGAAAGTTGTAGAGTTTCTAAGAAGATAGAAAAAAAGTAAAATTACAACCACTGTGAAAAAAAAGTCAGAAGTCTCTGAAACATCAGAAATGAGTGCATTTCTCTTTGCTGCTATTCACAATTAGCAAAGGAACAGGTATTTATCTGCTTGTATGTGCACAGGTATCCACATGTATGTACACTTACTATGTAAGGCCAGCTTCTGAGCTAGTATTTCTACAAGTTTGCTTTTAAGTTGATGAGGACTGTCACTCTGAGATATAAGTGATATTGTCATATGAACATGTACAGAAAAAGAAGAAGGCAGATGACATCGGCTCTGTTGCCTCCCCAACAGAATGCAAGACAACGCCACCGTGAGATCCCCTGAACTCAGGCACTATGCTTTAGAACTCTGGTTTAGTGTCTCATCTTGCAGGGTAGGATTCCCATATGAGTACACAACACACTACACCATTGAGACAAACTGTGAGGGTCCCTTACAGGGACCCTAATTCCAAAAGAATGGTGTCAGATAGAGAAGGAAGAGACCAAAAGAAATTGAGAGCTCAGAAGCTTATCTTTCCTCTACTTTGGGCTTTTGTCTCTCACACATGGGTTCCTATCCATAGGACCTTAAATATCCACCCTGTTATACAGTTAAAAGGGCACAGAGGGGAACAAAGCCAATGGGTTTTGGCCTGTGACACCTCCCCCACACCAGGCTAGCTGGATCAGCAGCTCTCAAGAACAAGGTAGGAAAATGAACTCTTTAGGGGTGGGTCCAGCATGCAGCATAGTAACTACCCTTCTAGGTGATTCCTACTCAGACTGAAGTTTAAGCCAGGGCTTTCTCCTGTTAAGCTTCTGCCTCCCTAGACAGATGTTGATTACAAGTGCCCACTGAAGAAAGCTGGCTCCAAAGGCCACTCTTCAATGGAGTAGGAAGGTGGAAGCAAGGGGGCTATAACCAAAGCTAACAGAGAAGGAACAAAATAACCCTGAACTACTAGGAAAGCTTCTTTCTACACTGGCACGTGTTTTCTAATTCAACTGGTCTCCGATAAGGATTTTATAAAGCGAAATTGAAATAATATAAAAAACAAAAAAAATCAAAATTTTACATAAATCCATCCCAACATTGTAAGAAAAGTAACTGTAAACTGTAACAGTGTTAAATACACCTTGTTTAGAGATGGAATTCTAGTTTTCTACTCAGTGGTTTGGGTTTAACATCCAAACAAAGGGCAGGAAGCATCTTGTGAAGATATACTTTACCTCATTGCGGGCATGCTAATCGAGTGCTGAATGGAGCGTATACTGAGGCAGCATTAAGAGAGACAGAAACAAGTTAGTATGTAGTGACCCAACATAAGAAGCTGACCACACTATCTGATATGCAAGGCTTTCTGACAGGTCATTCTTTTCCCACTGTGAACAATGATCTCCTTTTTGAGGTGGGAGGGAGATGTCAAAGCTATTCCAACAGAATTTCTTTCCATTTTTAAGCCAATTTCAACTGAATCATTATTGGCGCTAGTAAGACAAGCATGTCCTCCCCTTGAGCCATGAAAGCTGTCACCTGCTTCTACCTGGATCTGGAAGGCTCAAGGCTCAGAAAGGAAAAGGTAACCCAAGGTGACAGCAGAAAACTGAGAATGGAACTTGGATCTTTAGGAGTTCTCATTCAGTGTTCACGACCTCCCCTCAAAAGTGAAGCATGCGTCACACACACACACACAGGAGCAAACACACACAGGAGCACACACAAGCCTCTGATGGGCCACAGTGGACATCTTTCTCTTAAGTATTTGTTTCTAGGCTGGAACAGGGCAATTTCTAAATCTATCACCTGTTTGATAACTAAGTTATTACAAATCCCACAGCACTCCTTAGCAGTAACAGCCTCTGACCCTCACTTAGAGACGCTCAAACTTTATCTCAAGACTCCCTAGATTGTTCATGTACCATTCAGCTCCCTACATTCTGGGGTTCAGCTTCTACCCCATAACAGTACAGCCCACTGGTTGGCAAAGCTTTTGAGCCTGCTCTGAGCTACCTTCCCTAGACACCAGCTCACCCGCTGACAATGTCTTCATTCTTAGGCTCCTAAAAAAACAAAAACCAAAAAACACACCTATGTGTTTTGCTCTGGCTCACACTGCTATTTTGCCCATAATATTTTGGCCACTACCACAAGTTTTTGGTAAGTAATCTTTCTTTTCGGTAAAGCAAACCATTCCAATATTAATCCTTAATGACATTTAAAAGTGTTTGTGTGCTTATGACTAAGTTTCTTCAAAGACTGTTGTTATAGAGGGCAACGTGTTATTGGATATCAAGTCTAGCTTGGTATTACTATGTAATTATATATATGATCTGGATGTACAGCTGAAAATGAAAACTCTGGAATAGAGAATTGGGACACCACTGTGTTGTTCTATTTGTCACACAGCAAGGTCTCCACCCTATAGAGGAGGCCTGTGCTGTGGCTGCATCTTGGGCATGAATTACACTGGAGGGGGAAGGTACAGTTCTTCTATTTGATCCTTTCAAGTGTACTGTTCCCATCGTTGTAGGGCACAGATTAATGAAAACAATCCTTCTGAATTCTTAACAGCAGAACCTGAATCATCACATGAACTTCTAAAGAAAGAGTCTGGAAGAGCCACACACCCACAAACACATTTGACCCTAACTCTGTGATACATCAGGGGAGCACCCCCCAATACTGCTAAACTCCTGTCAGTCTGCAGACTGTCAGCACTGAATGGGGTGTGGGAGCTCTGACAACAGCCTGGCCCTGAAATCAGACAGGAAGCTGCTGTCTCAGGCAGGTGGTGATTTCTTAGCAGGAATGCCACACCAACGAAAAGGCTGTGGAGGAACCTTCAGGCAATGGAAGAGCCACAAGAACTCAGAGAAAGCCTGTTTCTCAAGAAAAGAGAAATGGAAGCACAGTCAGGGGTTACAAGGAGGGAAAGACAGCCATGCAGGTACAAGGGCAGGAGAGGGGTGGACTTTCAGATGTCCTAGGATTCCAGACGCATCCTCAATTCCCAGCGCTATTCAAGTAGTCAGGCTGGTTTGAGTGGGGCTGGGCTTCTCTTTCCCCACTCCTTGGTATACAAAACAGTTTTGCGTTTGTGCAAAGCACTCCCTTTTGCACTGAAAATACACATGCCATTTTCTGTTCCTCAACGAAAAACTCTTCATTAGATCATTCACTTTAGGAGAAGCTAATAAATTATGTCCACAGAAGATGAGTAGTAGCCAAATATGATAAATTGATTGTTCACAGAATTCACACACATTTTGACAATATTAACAAAAGGAGGAAATATGTGCATAAAGTTTAAGTTTTTAAAAGGCACATACAAATCTAGGACCTGTTTCCACTGTTATGTAAAAAGCTTTTAAACTGGATTTTCTTGCCACTACACAAGCTAATACATATTAAATATGCCTCAGAAACAATATGTAAGAAAAGACAAGGACCTGTTTATAATAAGGCTTATTTTGTGAAAAATCATTGGGCTGAATTTGATATTTTTCTGTAGCTCGATTTCACAATAAAAAACAACAACAACAACAACAAACCCTCCTAAAACAGAGAAAGAAGTCGATTGCTAGAGAAGGCTTTGGAGGCAGAGTCTCTGCTTCTGAGAGCCATCTTAGTGGGAAGAATGAGGTGTAGACATTAATCCATCCCATTAGCTAATCCCCTCGACAGCCACATCCAGATGGCATTTCACTTGGTGGGCAGCTAGGCCGCACTGAGTATAGTGGGCAGCTGGTCTTTCATTCCTGCCTCCTCCTACACAAAGTTAAACAAAGCTTCCTCAACTGACATATCATTTCCAATTTCATCCAAAGTTGAACACAATATGGAACCTTCTAGAGCAAAAGCCAGAGTCATGGCTTGACAAGCTATGGGGACCCATCACATTTAGGAAGCAAAATCTGTTAAAACAAAACAAAACAAAACAAACAAAAACTCCCACCTTGATTTGTGAACCTCAAAGCGGCACACAGAAATAGGCATCTCCAAACATGATGAGACACACAGCACAGGGAGGGCTGCTTCTCAGTACGACCTTCTCCATCTCAGATTCACTCTTACTCATTCTTTTAAAAAGCTGAACTAGTTATTTATTTTTTTCTAGTTTATGACACTGTTATTTAATCCTTCCATCTCTAATAATGAGGGTGGACAGAGCAAGGAAGAGAAAGAAGGACCATGCAGAGAAAAGCAAAAGCTAATGCCTGCCTGCCATGTGGCAGGCAGGCTTCTAAATGCAGTGCTACATTGTTCTCACATAAGCAATACAAGAGCAAGAGTGCTGGCCAATGCCCAGGGCTCAGGACTCACTCTCAAACTCACTGCTCTGGGGAGAGAGTCAGCTCTGCGACCAGGGCGCTGGGTTCAAATCCTAACCATCAGCCACTCACACTGGCTTTGTAACCTTGAGGTCATTTAGTCTCCCTCTAGCTCAGTGTTCTCCCAAATATAAAATCAAAATAATAACCACAAATGCTCACATCATCTTACCCAGCATATAACCATTAGCCATTATTATGACATCATTTTCATGGTAGATTACCTCTCTTAAAAGTTTCTAGTATCCACAGTTCTTAGAACAGAGTCTGACACATAATTAACATTTAACAACTACATCAGAATGAATGAACATTTTTGCTAACTAAAATTGGGAAATGTGAATGTGAAAGGTGGAGAAAGTTATTACAGTGGTTCAGCTCCCAATCAAAAGATACTGTTTCATAGAGAAGAGATATTTCTTTTCCCACAAACAGCAGATGTTTCTAGCAAAAAAGAACTGTCTAGAATGACCTTGATAAACCCCAAAACAAATTATATATATAAAAAATATATATATTAAAGAAATACTCATTTGAAATGAAAACTCCTGGTGAAATAAACACAAAATGAATTGGCATTTCTTCCTAAATATATAAGAAGTCAAACAATGCAGCCACTGAATTATTCCAGGATGCTGTAAGACCATCACTTGTGTTTAAAGGCAGCAGTGGTTAAAGTGAGAAGGGACTTTTAAAGGAATTCTCCACATTATAAAAGCATGACTCAGTATGTTGCCTGTATTATAGAAAACAAAAAAAAAGTGGAAGTGGAAACGTAT